TTTTGTACAGATTGTTAAGCTCTTAATGTCCTTTTTTTCTAAAAGGAATTGAAAATAGTACATATTGTGCTCCTCCACGTAACAATCACAAAACAAATACACATACATCTTTACATATCCTTTTTAATATTTAGTTTAGATTAGAAAAATGTCTGTGCCCCATAATTGGAACACTATTTTGTTTTTGACATGACTTACAAGGGTCCAGGTAAACTGTTGGGGGTTTAAGTGTCTTCTGCCAAGGAGACAAAACAAGGAGTTGAGACTGATGGTGTTGGAGTTCTGGTGGTTTCTGAGGAAACTCTGCCGGGTTGCCAAAGTTGACGGAGGAAAGGAGCACAGCCTTTTGATGCATCAGGGCACTACTGACGTTCTATGCAATTTAGCTGGCCTTATTTTTGGACTGGCTTTCACCCTTCCTCGTTTCTCTTAAAACCAATACAATTAGCCTTTTAAGCAAAGCAGGTGTTTTCTATGTATCATTTTGAGAAACTCTTCCTTTTTGTGTGTGTTTGAGTGTGACATAATCTTAGTATAGGACATTTGTTTTCTTGGACATCAAAACTGGAACAGTGCCCCCTCAACAAGGGACTAATTCATTCACGACTATAATTGTCGGATTATAATTGTGAATGAAGTCATGAATTTGCCAGATGCTACTGAAACAGGTAGTGCATTGTTCTGATTCTGATGTGCTTTATTGAGGACACATTGTTCCCGTCTTGTGCAGTACATTTTGTGCACATCAAGACATATCATTTTAAATGGCTAAAATCCCATTGTTTTAATAACAGTTGAAGTTATTTAAAGCCAAACGATGCCCTCCAGCGTCTAAAGTAAAACCAAAGGACACATTTTGAAAAGCTTCCCGTTCACATAACTTTCATAAATGACGATCTTACATCTTTTTATTTTATTTTGGAGAACTTATTTCTTTGTTTATGTGTGGTTTCGTTATGAGACTATTTGTCCTGCTGGGGACACTGTTCCAGATGGGTTGCACATCCTGCTTTGTCTCTACTGAATCGGGGCTAAAAGTGTCAGACTGTACATAGAGGGCTGTAGGCATGTGATCGTATACCCCAGAGGCCTTTTTGTTCATATTAGTCTTTTTGCAAATGATTGAGATGTTTCACAGTTTCACGTCTTAGCGTAGGAACTGATCGACGCATGGGGACAGAAGTGATCTTTTTATCACCTCTTTGTATTATAATATATGTACGGTTTGCTGGATCAAAGATTAAGTGCTACTTCTATCTTGAAGTTTTACATAAGCAGAATGTTAAAATACAGGCCTTTTGTTATTTCAGCATGTTTGTGTGGAAGAAATGAGCTTTGGGTCTTTTTTTTTAAATACCATTATTTTTTGAACTAAATAGCTGCAATGCACACTGTGCGCTACATTTTCATCAAAACAGCATCTATCCTAATCAATAATTAATTGTATTTGTGGCAGAACATTTATTTTTCACTGTTTTGTAATCATTCTCTGTTAACCAAAAACTGTGTTACTGTCGCCATATTCTGCTATATTAATTCTGCAGGACTATTTAACTTGTTCCAGATGTTTTGGTCACTTATTGACCGTATCGGATCACCCATAATAAAAATGAAGACATAAGTGAGGTACAGTCATACTCAGAGTGAACCTTCACATCCTTGTTTGAGTTGATATAAAACCAGCCTGATAAGTAACAAAGAGCCATTGTTTTACTGGTACTGTACTTTGTATTGACGACATCAAACTCTTTATTTATTTATTGTATGGCTATAACATCCAGGAACAAAAAAGGTCACTTGAGATTGTAGCCCACACCACTTTGCCCATCACACTAACCAGCCAACCAAAGCATAAGTGTACAGTACAGTAATACGACAAAGATGTAAATCAAGCTATGAATTCTACTAACTCTGGAAAGTCTCAGTCTCACTGTTTGATCATGCCTACCACAGATGTGTTAGTTTACTGACATTTTCTTGATTTTTCAAAATCAGCAATTCTTGCAGACTATTGACACATTACGTTCAGTACATTCTCTCACGTTTCTTCTCTTAAAGCAGGTCAAATTCCAATGACACCCAGTCTCTAAAACTGTAGCAACCCTCCTTAATGAATGTAGCTGGATTGGAGACATCCTCTAAAGCCCTTAAAAGTAAAAGCTGAGCAAAAACAAATGGAGCCGTTTAAATCCAGGGATATATGGTGTTCTGTTACTTATTGTAGATCTTGGTATGTTTTGCTTTACTCAACGGGTTCTTAACGGGCAAATTTACAGTGTGTGACCTAGGTGTATGTAAATGAGGTCCTGGTGGATGTGAATGTTTCATACTAAAAAGGGTTTTATACGATTGGTTTTTATCAGTGTAGCACTGGGATTATGGTTGTGTTAACTGTCGTGTCAACATACAGTTGTACATGTTCATCGACATATGTGTTAAGTGTCATTGCTTAATTTCATAAACGTGACGGGGTACTAAAAAGGTGCAGCAATACTTGTGGCCATATTTGGGTAAAATCTACTGAACTGTCTTTCATTTGCATCACAGGTTGTTGATTTAATTTTAAGTGGTTGATTTGTCTGCTTTAATTTAATTGCTTTTCTCTTTAAGATTTGTGGAATTATTATTTTGGTGATACAATATATTCATGTAGGTCTGGGTCTGACTGTGTCACAATTATGAATGTACTCAATTGATATTGGGGGGAAAATGAAATAAAATGGTGGATTGGATTAAAAACAAGGCTACTCTTTAAATAAATTTTTCATTTAAAGAGTAGATGTCAAGAGATTGATCATTGTGTTTGCATTGTTTTTCGTTAATATGATCTAGTTTTCTAGCATTAGTATAATACCTCCCTCCTGCCTGCAGCTTGTTCAATATTCTGCTAATTTTATCCAAAACAAAAGAAAGACAATATTTACCTGGTCCTTACATGCTTACACTGGCTTCTAATTGTTATATAATTTATTTAAAATATTTTAAACCGCTGACTTACTTACATACTTTCGCCGTTTTAACTCCAAAAATCAGATGATTTGTTGCTAGAACCGGGCGCCATCTTGATTATTGTGCAATACCTGGGAGCTGTATCTGCTGTCTCGCCTTTTTCTGCAGAGCAGGAGAAGTGCCGCTTTGGAACACTGTCTGTCTGGTGGCCGACCTGTTGGAGCTACATGGACATCCCTCATGAAATGAAAGGTCTGCTCAATCCGGATCGATTGATGCCCCACTATCACTGTGGGATGTTCCGTTCAAGCTACACGCCTGTAAAGCAGGGGGTGCTTTTGGTCACAGGAATGTTGATGAATTTTCACTGTTTTTAATCAATATTTCAATGTTATTTGGAATGTGGTTGTATGGACATAAATAGTGTTTTAAAGATAACTCCCAATAAATCAACATTTAAACAGTAAATATTGCCAAAATATGGACATTCGCCTGCAATATTTTGAAAATATTGTATGAAAACTGTTATATTTTAGTTTATTTTCATCAAATTTACAGTTACAATTGCATTCCAGGTGTCCATTCATCCATCGTCAACTGCTTATCCTGTGCACAGGGACACGGGGCTGAAGCCAGTCCCAGCTGACATCAGGCGAAAGGCAGGGTACACCCTGGACAGGTCGCCAATCCAATTTAGGGCCACACATAGACAAACAACCAGTCACACTCACACCTAAGGACAATTTAGGGTCACCAATTAACCTAGTCCGCATGTCTCTGGAAGGTGGGAGGAAGCCAGAGATCATTCCAGGTGTATTAGATTATAATGCTACTGAATATCATTTATCTTATGATGGTTTTGATGATTTATTGCATTAAAAATAGAGCTTTTTTACCAGATGAGGATGAAAAATAAATTTTTCTTTATTGAATCTCCATCAAGTCTGTAATGGTAAAATGAATATGTTAATGTAAATTTGGATTTATATTCTTATCCTTAGCTTCTGACCATTCAAAGGAGACCAGAATTATGCATCTCTAGGCCAAATGGTTGAGGAGTTATTCCTGATTCATTTGGGTATGTTATTTTAGGCATTTTTCCTAGAAATAGGGGCAAATAGTTGGAGGTTTCCAACAAGCTACTTATATTACCAAGCTTAACTAGTTTTAATGGCAGCTTTTGTTTTTATTAAGATATTTGTTCAGCAAGTGTTTTTAAAAGGCACCTCTAACCTTGCTTTGAAAAGTGCAATATACATAAAGTTTATTATTTTCATGTACAGTAGTCCAAGTGATAAAGACAGTCTTTGTTGTATTGTGGTTGTGTAATAGCCAATCACAAACAGTTATAACTGTTAAATAATTGTATAATCACTCATCTAAAATCTGGCCTGTTCAGTATCTAGTGTATTAAAGATGAATGATTTTACTTAAACTGGTAATTGTTGGTATTAATTCAAATAATTAAGTAGTTTTGTACAGCTGGATAAACAACAGACATTTTCTACACAATATTTTCAGTTAAATGTAAATGTTCTATATTTGTATAGCACCTTTCTAGTCTTTGTGACCACTCAAAGTGCTTTTACACTACAGCGCATTCACCCATCAAACACTGATGCAACAGCCTTTGGGGAATTCAGGGTTCAGTGTCTTGCCCAAGGACACAAGGACGGGTAGCCTGGAAGAGCCTTCCGATTAACGAGTAACCTGCTCTACTTTTTGAGCCACTAAACAGTTAAACAGTGGATGTCAATTACTCACGCACCTAAATCTGACCTTTTTACTCTCACTTGCAAATTGTAACCAGAATAGTGTGACAGCTTATGAAAAATGCAAGAACGTGGCTGCTGAAATATTTCTAATACTTAACAGTTTTAGTCAGATCTTGCTACACTGAGAGAAGTAACTCTTTTTGGTTAAAGGAAACCAATTTAGCTTATATTCATTCATCTGCAACCACTTGAGCTCCTAGCACAGATTTCATACAAGGCTGCAAGTGTATTTCTTTTCCTTTTAATTTTTCTACAATACGTACAAAAGGAGATTCATTTCATAATGCAAAGCATTGGTAATAATCTATTTATTAAAAAAAATAAATGAAAACAAAACAAAAAACATTTTAAAATACACATAAAATAATACAGTATTATCATGTTAAAACACATACAAGTTTCTGTTTCCAAACAAAGGTATAAACCATGACACAAACAATAGCCTTAACTTAATATACCTAAAAGTTTTTAAAAGTTAAACAGTCAGGGAATGTTTAATCCTCACATGGGATTTTACCTCTTCAAAGTTAGTCAAGAGGAGCAGCAATGAAGGAGAGATTAACTTTCCTGAAGAATCGGGGTCAGCACAACAGAGAAAGTGGAAATTCAAACTCTACTGAATATCAGCTAACTAGCTCGTTTATGTCCCTCTGTTAGGTGATATATAAGACAAGTATACTCCTTATGTCCAGATCTGATATTTTCCTCCTTTCTATCTATACTAAATATCAATCATTTTCATCTCTCTATCTCGAGGAACACGATTCTTTTGGCTACGGCCTCCTCACCGTATTTCTCTAGCAGCTGCTGTCGGACCACAAGATCAGCTGAGTGCAGAAGACTGTCGTCACAGCGATCCCAAAACAGTGCTGAAAAGGAGGAGGGATTCAGAAGCAGATCCAGAGCAGCAGAGAAGTCTCCGCTGGTCTTCAGCAGGGCTTTGGTCACACTGGCTAAGTCCTGGAACAGAAATAGTAAGGAGAGGTTCGAAAATGGTTTGAAACAGACAGATAGAGTGGAGTATAAACAATTAATTATTAAATGGCAATGCAGTCTAAATGATACATTTTAAATCTCCTGCACCACAGTGCTCACCTGCTTCGTCTTGTTCATCAGCTCTCTGATTCGCTGCTTGTTCTCTTCCAACTGGACCTGAGTCAGTGAAAACGCAGCGTCGTCTTTGTCTATTCGTGGCTGTTGTATGGCTGGAGCTACTGTACTTTCACCAACAATGGACTGAGAGTCTTCTTCCTGAGATTCACTGTCAAATATGAACAGGTGGGCCTCGGAGGCCTTTGTGGCTACAGGCTCAGGGCAGCGAGTCTGTTGTAGGCCGCTGCTAGTGGAGGTCTGAGTCTCTTGCATTTCCTCCTGGAGGCTGGGTCCATATCTGTTGTTGGACTGTGTAGAGACAGGCTCTGCTGTGTCTGAAGTGGAGTCTGTCAATATGGGCTGTATCGTCCCTGTTGCGGTCGGGTTTTGGAGATCTGGAGCTTCATCTTCTTCGAACTGAGAAACAGGAACATAACAATAATTAAACAATAACACGACTCAGATTATTTTAAGTAAAGTGAGCAAAAGATGACAGCAACTTAATCATAGTTGATTAATTAATTAGTTGATAGACAAAATAATCAGAAACATTTAGACAATAAACTAATTGTTTTAAGTTAAGTTCAATCTTTCAAACTCTGAGGATTTACTGTTCTATAGACCAAAAGATTGATGGAGAAAATAATCTGGAATAAAGTAATGTAATGTTTATTAAACTATATATTTCTGAAATTGCTTGAGGGATTCTTAATAAATTCATAATAAGCCAACAAATAACAAACATAACAACACTGATGAGCAAGACAGTTGGTGAGAAAACACCAGAATTATGTGAAACTATCATTTTGTCACCACTAGTCACTGAACTCAACAAACCAAATTTAGACCATTTAAATGCTCGTGAACAGGGGAAGTCAGTTGATTTTATTGAATAGTATTATATTCATGTAGAGTGATGGATATTCCCTTTGGGATGAGGAATGGAGGAGGTAATATGAATAGTCATTCAGAGTTATCAGGAAAATATATAAATAAATACTGTACCCGTTTTCTCTACACGTCAACTATTTAAGGTACTTATAATACTGTACTTTACGGTAGGTACAATATCTACCCATTTCATAATGTTTGTCAGGCTTATGATGCCTAACTGTATGTGTGTGTTTGTGGGGTGGATGTGGTTTCTTTACTGAGTTTGAGTGGGTGCGTGATTGCACATGCAGTTCAATGTAAAATGGCCTTGCTGTTATAAGTGTGCTATTGCAAAATCTTCCAAAATCTTACCTCACTTTCATCTTCAAACTCTTTTGTAGCCAACTCTAGAATCCCCAACTTTCTCTTTTCTTTCTTCTTCTCTCCTTTCTGTGACACTGAACTGGATTCTGTAACTGCAAAACAAGACAATTTATGCCCCACACTGGTAGAGGTATAACAAACCTGCTTGTGCTGTTTCAGAGACAGTAGCTCACGCACTCTCTTCTTGTTGACTCTCTTCCACTGCTGCCGTGCTCTTTCCTCTGGCTCTCTTAGACGGCGGCTGGTCTGCTGTTGTGTCTTTTTGAAGAGCGGACTTATCGGCTGATTTAGTTTTCTTCGAGGGCTGGGGAGATGATGACGGTTGCTCAGCAGAACTTGATGCTGATCTGAGTTTTTTGCCATACGGTTTATGCGATAACAACTCCTCAAGCTGAAGCTGCCTGCGTGTAAACCGACGCTGTGGTTGTTCCGGCTCGGGGGAGGCCTTCTGCTTCTCTTTTGGCTTCTTCTGAGAGGAGGTGTCAGGCAGGGATCTGGGCTGAGCTGCTGGAGAGTCCTCTGGCGTGCTTTCTTTTTGTGGAGAGACGATTGTTTGTGGTTCATCTGTTTCTGGTTCTGTGCTCTCAGCTGGAATGGGGTGAGCATCTGTCAGTGGGTCCACACAAGGATCCTCTGTGATCTGGGGGGAGTTAGGTGTTTCAGCTTCTACCGTCTCTGCTTGTGTGCTTTCAGTTGGTTGTTTATCTGTCTGTGGGCTCACATGTTGCACTTCTCCTTCTGGAGAGGCCGATGTTTGAGCCTCTACAATTTCTTGTTGTGTGCTTTCAGCTGGTATGGACAGGTCTTCAATCTGTGGAGACACCAAACCTGTTCTGTTCAGTTCTGCTTATTTGAATGAATTATTAAATCACTTACAAATATGTTTGTTGCAAGCAGTGAGTTCTGGTTAGTACCTGTGTTAGGTCTGATTCCACTGAATGTGTCTGAAGAGGGTCTGCCGCTGTTGAATCTGTCCAAGCAGAAGCAGCAGCTTGTGCAGCGTCTGTCTCTTGATTTCCTTCTACCTAAAAGCAAACCGATGAGACCCTTTATGTCTATAAAAGATGGGACTGAGCTGAATTTGCATTTTGATTTGCATTTTCTGTCGCAATATACTGTGTATGTTTTTATGATTATCATGTTTCTTAAAATGTTTTAAAGTAGCAGTGGGTACAATTAATTTTTTATTATTATTTGGCACCACCCAGTGGTAGTATCAACTAATACACTGCACCAGGCAGCCTCTGTAACATCAAGCAGTTTTTTTGATGTTGTCAACATTTTTCAGTAGCTATTTCACAGTGTGATAACTTTAGACAAAACAATGTTATGTTAATTTACATGGAAGTTTTGTTCTTTACACAGTTGCACCAAAGAGGACATGCTTTTGACTTTTCCCTGTTAAAAGCTAAGAGCTCAAAAATGTTACGTATTAACTTAATGATGACATGGCCAATGAATGCTTCATAACATGAAGTTACTGCTAATAACACCACTGTTTCCCTGGTATTACTTGGCCACATCGATTGCTTGCCACTTATATTGAAAGTTGTCTCATATTTTGTTCACACGCATTTACATACATGAGGGGGATATATTACCTTTTAATATATTGTAGTACAATATACCACCAAAACTAGCAATAAATGTCAAAATAGTTGAATAAACCACTCTCTTAACACCTTAAAACCTTAACATTAAGAGACATTAACAGATGTTGGATTTATTGCAGGGCTGAAATGTATTAGTTTAGATTACAGTTTTACTGTTTCAACATTTTAAAGAAATGTAAAGAAACATCTTCCAGGTACATTACCTTGGTCTCCTCCTCTGCTTCCTTGGTGTCTTCCTCTGTTGGTGCAACCTCCACAACCTCTGACCGTTTCTTTGCCAGTCGTACTCTGTAACGATATTTCATGGACTGCCAGCTGTGAGTGGTCACACACTGCTTCTCCATCTCTTGCCAGAGCCGGTTTCCTCCAACCTCTGTGTTGTGTTCGCGGACATAATTCAAAATGGCAGCATCATCTTCAGGTGTGTAGGCAACCCTGCCTAATTATAATGAAGGAATGAAAGTATATAAATCAGCAGATTAAAACAAATAAACAGAGCAAGATAAAATCCAAATTTGATAATGATTGGTACAGCTAAACCAGCTATTTTTTATTTTAGGTGTTGCCCAAATCTTTGCACAAAATGTTGACAAATACATCATACCTCCTAAGAAACCGGAGCTCTCTTTGCTATTGTTGAGTCTAGCAGAGTGTCTTGTGTCCACTCCAGGATTTAACCTGTAGTCTTCTAAGTTTAGCTGTTCATCCTTCTCAACACAGTTGATAATGTACTGGGTGGACACGTACCTGAGGAGAAACAACTTTTGCTAAATTACATATTATCGAGCTGATCACATACGCACGGCAATGCTTCAGCTTACTGTGCGAAAACTTAAAGAGGTGGTATTATGCTTTTTGGCTTCTCTCTCTTTTATCGAGTTATATACCTTTTTTGTGCATGTACTAGGTTTGCAAAGTGAAAAATCCCAAAGTCAAGCCCAAAGGGAGTTCCCATCTCCCACAAAAAACACTGCTCTGCACTGCTTGAAAACAGCTTGTTTGTACTCCAGCCACTTGAATTCGCCTCATATAACGCTCGCCAAGCGGCTAGTCCAACACGCCCTCAAAAACACCGGTGGAAAAACACTGAGCTGCAGCACACCTCTCCTCTCCCTTCCAACACTAGCTACCCTCCAGCCAGTCAATGGACATAAAGTTGTTCCTGTGGTGTAGAGACAGAGCTCAGTTAAAACTTTATGGATGAAAAATACTTTTGTTACAGATTAATAACTCACCACTCTGAAACTCTTGCTCCAGTCCATGTTGCCAAGCTGGTCGGCAACATGTAGCCTACAGCTGAATCGAAGCTGTTTACAGGCTTCTCGCTGACCCGCCCTTCTCTGCTTCTGACTGGCTAGTAGTCCTTAACTAGGAACGGCACATGTGCAACTCCCAACAAAGATCAATTAGAGACAAGATGTATCACTCCATAGCTAAAATGAAGCCTTCAACACAGGGTGAAAAGAGGAGCTGCAGCAATGTGCAGTATGAAAAAAAATTATGTTTTTTTTTTTTTAATTACACCATGTAAACCTGTTCTGGTACAACCCCTAATTAAGATTTTGAACCTGAAAATGAGCATAATACCACCTCTTTAAAATAAAAGCTTGCCATGTCTTAGAAATTGACCACTGTTCAAATCTCCCAAGTGCTCTACTGTGGAAGTGGTATGTTCTGCTAAACTGTGGGTCAAATGTCATATGACAGATAAATTGGTAGAATAAACACATCAACATTGCTAAAGAGTATTTCTCCTGACATAAACCCTTTCTAATGGCATCCCAGTCCTACACCTACCAGTGAGCAGTTGTTTCAGGAATAGAGCCTCTTTCCTCTGGGTTAATCAGCAGGATTGCTCCTGGCTGCTGGACATTGCACAACAAACCTCCCCCAGCTGTGATGAGCGGCTGAAGTTTGCGTTTAACAGGACCCGGGCGCAAGAAGAAAGACATGGGTTCGCCGTCCACGGTCAGAAATAGAACGGGGGAGATTTTAGATTTGGCCACATCCCGCTGTTTGGATGATGCGGTCAACATGTCTCACCTGGTGGAAGAGGGGAAATTACAGAGTTGACGGTACTTAATACATGTAAAATATTAATGGTGGTGCTCTGTTATTAACATTATGAGCACACACACTGAAGTACAATCAGAACCTGTCAATCGTTGCTCCAGAGGCGCACGACGTCTGACTTAAATAGCAATTGTAAATCGCTTTAGATAGAAGCGTCAGCTAAATGAATGAACATTCGATGGTTTCAATTTCTCACATGTGAGGACTTGCTCGTCTTACATTTTAGTATAATTAACATCTTTGGGGTTTTGGACTGTTAGTCAGACAAAACAAGCCTTTTCAAATAATTACATCATGGGCTCTGGATGACTGTGCCAAGCAATTGTCACTGTTTCTGGATTTCTTTACAGACAAAACGATTCATAGATTAAATGAATAAAAATACAGTCAACCATTTGCAAAGCACCTGCTTCTCAATGACTTTGCTTCTCCCATAACTAGTTGCAGCCCTTCACTGCCAGTTTATTAGGAAATTTAGATACAGTTAAATGTAATGCAGCCTAATACAACAACACTGCAATAAATCCTACATTCATGAAGGTTAACTGCTCAGTTTTTGTTAAACTGGTCGTTTTGGAGGATGTAGTTTGGGATGCTCTTGAATTTTATTGTATCATTCTGAGAGGTTTCTAATATTTTGTCCAAACCATTTCTATCAGTGAGTGTATGTTTGCACCTGCTCTTATCTGTGGGCTGTAAGAGACAGTATAAAGGTGACTGTTATTTGGCCAAGAGCACTTATCAGTAAACATAGCCCGGTGTTACTGCAGATTTGTAAGTTAGTTTACTGAACAGTTAGTTTACTGAACTAACTTACCACTAACTAGTAAGTTAACGTTAACCTAATTTAACCGCACTTAAGTTAACCTAAAAAAGTAGTCCACACTGACTTCAGCTCTCACGTGAGCGACTGTTTCGGGTGGTTAACGTTACAGAAGCCAAGTCTGGTTAGCATGTTTAGCTTTAACGTAGCGTTAACCCGTTTAACGGCAGCATTGCTGCCTAATTAACAGATTATATGGTTACAAACAACACTGCTTAGATTAGACACTGAATTTTAAAGTTACCTTGCAGTTTGTTTACTTCCTGGGAGAGCTTTCCCGCCGCGACGAAAACCCAAACAAAACCATCTTCCGGGTTTTCTTCTTCGTCTTCTTCCTAGTGTCGCAATACCGCCCCCGCTGTTTATAGCATTAATGCATCTCCCTAAATTTTACCACACCACAATTTCCTGCATTCCCATGTGGCTGTTCAACAAGTAACATTGACATGTGTGTAAAGCCACTTTGTATTTATATCACTGCCATTAAATCTGTTAAATCACTCAAATACTGTTACAACCCTGTAAAACATCCACTCACCTACAATTTGTAATGTATTTACGGTTTAAAATACACACTGTACTTTAACATAAATCCTCCACGCTGTTTATACTGCATATAGACATAGTATGCATACTAATCTATAGTATACATTCATACTGTGCATAACCACCCACTTCATGTATCTACATTAAATCTATCACATTACCCATTTCAGTATTTATATATATATATATATATTATATTTTCATAATATTTCAATGCTGTATGTCTCTTTTTATTTTCCTATGCATTGTTCTTGGAACTGTGTGTAACACTGAGAGCAACTTAAAACTGGAGTCAAAGTCGTAGTAGGTGTACACATACTTGGCCAATATATATGATTCAGAATCTTATTTGTTTAAACAAGTCTCGTGAAGATATGGATACAGAGGCCAGCATTTCAGAAATAGTGTAAACTAATGTATAGAAAGTTTAGGTGAAAAAGATGCATTAGAAACTTGTAAATGCTGCTACTGACACTCCAATTTACTAATTCAAAGAAGAGTCCCAGTGTCCCAGTAAGCCATGACAGTGAGCCAGCAAGCATAGATGATATAGGATGACCTTCCTCTTTTGGAAAAGCACATGTCAGATTAATTGCTAAAATGTGCCTTAAAATTATTACATTATGTTTACATGTTCAAAATGTATTGTAATGGGAGCATAATTGAGTCACTTTTTCCAGGCAGTGTGTATGATATACAGGGTCGGGACCACACACAGTCAGAATACTGATGATGTTATGTTCACAGAACAGTATACTAACAGCTCTTTTGCATGAACAACCCAAATGAACTGTGAGCTTACTTCAGCAGAAGAAAATTACATCTTTGGAATCACCCACGTAAACACTGATAGTCCAGTGGGAGCTATTACTTTTGATCAGTTGATTGCCCCCCTGAGGAAGGTGTGTGTGTATGAAAGACATGGGGGATAACTGCTGCACTGCTTTCAGCACCTCATTATGATTACTATAGTCATTAAATGTGCTAAATTTAAAGCTGAACATTTTTCTTTTAAAGAATTTAAACTGAATAAGTCCAGAAATTGTGTTGTGGGAACATGACTAATGTTTGTTTTCTGCAGAAGTTAATTACAATCAATGAACTTAACTGCTATGGCAAAAATGTGATGCTACAGCTTATATTCTTTTTTCTTGTTTTAGCAGGGGATCAGACAAAAGTAGTGTAGAGAAATTCAACAACTATGACCATATACGTCTGCATTTGCCCATTTACTTCTACTATTCAAAAGCCATCTGACACAAACCTCCTCCTCTGCCTCAGTGTTATGATACAGAATATTGTCCAATATAAGACTGTTATGATTTGTTCTCTATCTTGGGATGTTCTGAGCTACCCTTTCCGGTGCATATGACACTGAGCACATGCACTCAACTTCTTTGGTCGGTCATGGCGAGGCCTGTTTTGAGTGGAACCTGTCCTGTTGAACCGCTGCATGGTCTTGGCCACCGTGCTGCAGCTCAGTTTCAGGGTCTTGGCAATCTTCTTACAGCCTAGGCCATCTTTATGTAGAGTAACCATTCTTTTTTTCAGAGAGTTATTTGCCATGTTGAACTTCCAATGACCAGTATGAGAGCGATAACACCAAATTTAACACACCTGCTCCCCATTCACACCTGAGACCTTGTAACACTAACGAGTCACATGACACAGGGGAGGAAAAATGGCTAATTGGGCCCAATTTGGACATTTTCACTTAGGGATGTACTCAAAAGTGAGTACAGCAGTTTAGACTTAATGGCTGTGTAATGTGTTATTTTGAGGGGACAGCAAATTTACACTGTTATACAAGCTGTACACTCACCACTGATTCCTAAAGACGGGAAAGCAATGATTCCATTGTGTTTCCAAATATTCTTACACAAATTTATTCCCACTCAGAAAGCACACAAACAAAGGTCTTATTAGCTCCTTTATACTGCAATATGTTGACACAAAATGACTGGATTAAATTATTATTAATTATGAAATTATTTAAAATTATGTTCAAGGTGTTATACGTGAACAGTGTTCTAAACGCTTTCTTTGTATATATTTAAAATATATATATAATAACTTTTTTCTTGTTATGTTTGCTTTTGTGATAGTTTGGGTATCTGCTTCAGTGTTTTTTTATTTGCCTATAACTAAAAAAGCTTAAAATTTATAAAATATCATTGTTAAAAATATAATCTGTTAGTTCATTTTGATTTTATCCTGTGTTGATCCAAGCTAATCAACATTTCTTAACAACATTAGTGACTCATTATTACTGTTTGACGTTGTGAAATAGCCCAGCTTTAACTTGACTTATTCTTGGTTCAGTTGAGCTGGGAGGCCATGGGAAGGAATTGGGCTGTCCTGTTTACTGTATCACCTCACTGACCTTGCCTCCCTCACAGTCCTGACAGCTACATTATTGTTATTGGCCTCTATTGTTCCTCTCCCTCCTTAGCTCAACCAGCTGAAACAATACACCAGCTGCTGAAGTGCTGCAGCTCCTCCAAGTCGATGTGTGTTTATGAACAATCTGTAATAATTAGACAGATGCATAGAAATTCTGGACTATCCATCTTCGACCCGAACCTCTGCTGTCAAATGATCAACTCATTCCTGAGTCATCATCACACTACAAGGCTGATCTACTGTATTATTATCAGTTGATTTTTTTCCAATCTGAATCAGCAACTGTAGAGAGGATGTGTGGTCAGGTCACTGCAGCGTAACACAGTTTGGTTTGGTTTGGTTTTGGCTCTAGCAGAGGAAAGTTTCCCTGCAGTGAGGTTCAGCAGTTGTTTCCAGCCTGCAGAGGGAGATATTTAACTACTTTACAATACAACGGGCGTCAATCAAACAGTCTATCTATCAGTCAGTCTATTACTGATCATTGGCACGCTGCAATCCTCTGTTTGGATGTGCTGCTTGGGTAAAACTAGACTAAAGGCGACCCGGGTCAGTCTGAACTACTCTAGGGCCTCAGTTTCATTATAGCCATATAGAAGAGCGTTGCTGCTGATGATAACAAGACAAACTGCCCTCCTTGAATTTTTGTCGTGGAGAAGATGGTACAACTTCAGAGGGGCCAACTTTTACCGGTCTTGTCAGCTACTGCCAGGCTCTCCCTCTAGAAAGTTTTAGCCTTTCTTTTCAAATATTAGCTCATTTCTATTTCTGCAGATACTCTGTGAGAAAGGGTTTTAAGCTCTGTCATGCCTCCTAAAAAAGTCAACATTGAAAGACTCCTTCACAGTGAGACAGAAAGGCTGGCATTTACCAGTTGGAGATGAGTTAGCTAAAAAAAAAAAATCATGATGACACTTGATGAGATAGTGACACTGTTGTGCAGACAGCGTTTGGTAAACACCACATTTTAGACGCCTGTTCTTTAAGTACACTTGACACACATATTTGAGTACACATATTTTGAAAGGACTTTGTTCAACTGAGATATTTGACAGTGCCAGTTGACTGGGTGGGACATGTGGGGGATTTGATATTGGCCAACGGCCAGTACTCTTGATGTGAAAGTAAGTTTAAAAATAACAAACTGTTCTGTACAGTGTAGAAATGTTCTCGTGATTGATTGTGATGTGAAACATCACAGTGTTTTTCCGCCTACCAACATTTTGAACATTTTTTCTGTGTGGCTTCAGCTTTAACTGTCAAGGCTTACACATCACATCACCTCAATCAGGTGAATTTTTCCTGAGTGATTCAGTTGCTCTTTAACGCCATTAATTGGCACTTGAGTGGAAAGTTAGTGCGATTTGATGTGACCTGGTTTAAGTTGTTCTGTTATGTGACTCAAATGAAGGCACTGCTGGTGAATGTACTGTACATCATTCCTAATTTGTTTTGGTGAAGTGAAAGGATTGACAGCCTCTCAATGTATTTATCATATTTTCAGTGACACTCCTAACCAGGGACTACACTGTGAAAAGTTTGTGAAAGCATTTTGTCTGAAAGAGACATTTTCTTGATATGAAGCACTAGGGAAACGCAAATATCTGAAGATGAGAACCAAAATACACAGTCCACAGTCCAAATGGTTTTTGTACAGATTAAACAATTTAAAAAATCAGCCCACCAGCACATTCACGTTTCCAGTCTTTGGTCAGTGGCTTGATGTTCTCATGAAAATCTTCACAAAAAAGCAAATAAGAGTATTTCCTAAAATGTCAAGCTTATTCCTGTAAAATGAAAGATCTTTTTTTTAAATGTATTTTCACTTTTGTTTGTGATTTAAATTGTGTGGGGTTTGGATCTCATCATAAGATCTTTGCTTATTTCCTTCTCTTTCTGTGTTATTTATGTCCTTTTGACTTCATATCAAGAAAAGGTCTCTTTCAGGCAAAATGTCTTTACACAGCAAACAGTAAGAAATACTGAGAGACTAAAAATGTAAATTATAACACTCAGGAAACAGGAATGATGTACAGTATGTTGATCAGCACTGTCCTCATTTGAGTCATGTAACAGAAAAGCTTAAGCCAGGTCACATTTCATCACATTACACTAACTTTCCACTCAAGTGCCAATTAATAGTATTAAAGAGAAAGCAAATGAGTGAATCACTTGCAAGAGAAATTACCTAACAAAGGTGATGTGATGTGGTTTAAGCACTGCCAGTTAACGCCGAAGCCACACAGTGTCTGAAAAGTGTTGGTGGGCGGAAAAACACAGAACATGTTTGTCATATTTACGTTTACTTTCATGTCAAGAGTATTAGTTGTTTTCATGTTTGCCAATATTAAATCACCCATGCATCCAACCAAGTGAACTGGCACTGTCAATTTAAAATCTTTAAGTATAGTTCTGATTCTGTTCTTAAAGAAGAGGTGTCTAAAATGTGGTGAATTGTTGCAAGCCACGAATAGAGCTACACTTCCTGTAGCCTACACATTTATGAAAGCTGACTTCATACTACAGGCTCTATAACTATTATAGGATTAGAGTAAGAAAGAAGAACTGAAAAATCTGGAGCATCATGCTACACTAACTGTAGTCATTTTTGCTTTATTGGATATGGAAACCAGGGATGTTGCAGTCATATGGTGTGCTGCTTAACTACTAGGACACATCCTAACAGTTTTATCATAATATATAATTGTAAGAATTATTTTATATTAAGAACAAAATACCTACTCTCTTTTTACAACTTTTTAAACCGCGTATCTACATGCTTGCTTCTGTTGGAAGCCTTAAATGTTTTCCTACGCAGCTCACAAGAACATAAAGTGCCTTGATATAAATTCCACAGGGGTTTTCTATTTAAACACCAGATTAAACAAAACTGTTTCTCCAGAGCTATATTCATCTTACAGTGGCAGGTGTATCACTTCAGAAACAATGATTGCACAAGGACACCACACACACACACACACATATATATCAGGTATCAAACAGTGGTAGGAGTAAAATTCCTTTCTGATACTAAAACAAAAGAATTTAAAGCGAAGCTGCTGTTTCTGAAGGAGCTCAAACAAAAACAAAACTTCCTTGTGTAAATCACAGTCGCTATCTTTGGACTTGGCTCTGTGTGGATGGACAACAGCAGAAATATACTTTCTGAAAATTAGTTGGCAGTTTAGCTCAGGAATCTTGGCAGGATTTGGTCAGCAGAGACTGGCCTTAACAAAGTGAGGATATGCTGACTCGACATAAAGAACACATTTAATTACCATCATCATCAACCATCCAAGAGGATCATCCGGGTCAGAGCCAGAAACCCCCCACCACCATCATCTGCCAATTCAAAAGCTTATTTTTAGGGGCCAAACTTCTGCTTTACTCTGCTACATTCTCACGGCCCGGCTGTCTCCGTGTCTCATCTTTTCTCTTTTTGACAGCTCACTCATATTCCTCTTACTCCTGATCAGACCTTATTGTTCCCATTAATTTTCTTTATCCTGGGAACCCAAGAAGAAGATCCCAACAGACACACAAAGAAAGAGAAAGACAGAGAGAGACCCATAACACTTCCTCGTTGCCCGTGAGGCAACCTAAAGTATTTTTGACTCTTACACACTCCCATTTCAGTTTACAGTCTACAGTTTAATTTTTACATGTTGCAATATCAGATGACATGTTTATGATGAATTGAATGAGGAGAGGAAGTGAAGGCCCCCACAAAGGATTAGCTCATGATTCTACAGTTCTCCTTAAGTGTTTTAGCGTCTTTCAGCTCAATTCAATCAATTCAGCTTTTTGGTAACCTTTTCCACAAGTTTACTGTTTTGGTTCATAGTGTGATTTTAGGTCACAGCAGGCAGCTCATCACCAGTCAGTCAGACACAATTAGTTAGAGACTAGTTGGTGAGCATAGTGGAGCATCCAGCAGTTAAAGCTCAAAAACTGAGCTAAAAGAGAGTGGACATTGGTTTGAATTCACCAGCTAGCAAGAAACACAACTTCAAATGAATGCTACTGTTGCTCCCTGTGTGCAGGATGCATGGGCTGTTTTCTAACAAGTTCACCACGTCAGCTTAAAGTGACCATATTATGGTCATGTTTGGGTTCATACTTTTATTTGGGGGTCCTAGTAGAATGCACACAAGCGTTGACGGTAGAAGCTGAAACACCTAACTGCATTTTAAAATGTTTAACAAACATTATTATTCTCATACTGTACATTACTGCAGTACCTCTATTCATCCTCTGTTTGAAAGTAACGCCACTTAGAATAACCTGATTCCTAAGGCTTCCTGATCAGCTGGAAACACAGCTGTATCTATGGTAACTATGGGCCCAAGGATCCTGATTTGCTAGTGTCTTTTCCTGCTTATTGGTTGGACAGTGAGTTTGAGGGCATTGCCAAAGAGGAAGAATGGATCCCATCGCACAATCAAGTTTGAGAGGCAGTTCTGTGTGTGTTACCAGTTTAGAGTCAACACTAAGAAGTTATGGAACTACATATTTCCTAAAGTAAGAATTGTATTTCTTATGATGTTTCACAACCAAAAGCAGTCGTTTCCTGAGGTTCCATGTAGAGTGAGAAAGAACAAAATGAAGACCAATGTCCATCAAATATATTTGAAAAAAGAATTATTACATAAAGAAGCAAGGGATCATCGACATGTTCTAATATAACTTTTCTAATGTATATGCATATACTGTTTTCACCTGTTAATAGACAGATCTCCTGATATTTTTGATTGATACATTATCAGAAAAAAAACCCAATTCAAGCATTGTGGGTTAAGAAGAAAAATCCTCTCATGGGCAAACATTGAATTGTACTGATAGATATAATACATCTTTACAGTGTATCGTATATAAGGTAATATAAAGGTGTTTTAATGTGCTTAATAGGTCCAGTGGCTTCTCCTGACTAATATGTAATTTCAACAAACATTTGGGCTTGATCCCAATGGTGGATTTTACTAAATGTAAATCTCTTAATATGAATGGAACCATCTACTGTGAGTAATGGAAAAAAAACGTGCAGTCATGTACCGCATATTTTTTAACTTGCCAAAAAAGTCACACAACAGAAAAGCTTTGTGTAAATGAACTCGTGCGAGACCTGAGGTCTCAGTAGGTTAAAAAGTGAGACTGACTCTGACGTTGTTGCATGCTTTCCCCTTTCTATCCTATTTTTTCCGCAGGTCTCTCTGTAAATTGATTGGGTTAAAAAAAGGGGGCACTTAAAAAAAAAAGAAGCAACATGTCCAAAAAACATTTAACTTAAAAATAAATAAAACCACCTCCCAGCTTGCTGATCAAATCTGTATCCACAGACCTTGGTCTTCTGGCACAGTTCAGCAGAGTTCAGATGTTGCAATCGTTCCAACAGGGTGTGTGTGTGTTTGGTAAGAGACACTGAGGACAGCTGATGTAATGACTGCAAAACAGATTTCCAAGAGTTTGGGCGACTGGAATGCTTTCAAAGACGACAGCATTTGGAAATGGTTGTTGACGGTCCACGTGCAAATGCACTTGTATGACTTCAAGTAAGAGGCAGATTTCAAATAAAAAGTTAGAAAATATTTTATTTACAACCCCCCCCCCTTCCCCTGCCAAACCCAACATCTCATTGATCAGACACAGTAGACCCTTTGCACATATACAAAATAATTTCATAGTAAAACCACTTTGTAAGAATTTGAAACAAAACAACTACGGCTGAAAAGCCAATTATGTTTGACAGTCAATTTTATCCATACAAAAATAATATAAATGAATATATATTATACATTATACATGTGTAATATATCTAATGTTATTTAAATGTCATTCATTCCACACAAAAAAACCTAGTCTTAAAAGGCACAATATGGCGTATACTGTTTCATTTTTCAACAAAGAAGTGACATCATAATGACATTTTGTTGGCTTCACACTTTCTCACAGTTTCTACAGGTGACTGACACTAAAATATGTTACAGGCAATAATCAGATTTCTGTCTTTGGATAAAACTGATGAAAGAGAGATAGCACCTTAACCCTGCCAAAACAGAAAATGACTATTCATTCTGATCATTGTTTTGTGTGTGCTTGTGCGCGAGCTTGTGAGCATTCATGCATCTGTGTGTGTTCACAGAGGTACTGAAGCACGTACACACTGCTGCTGCCTATGACAGTTGTAATGTAACACATACTGTGCTGTGTGACACGTTGTAAAATATTCACAGTGGTGCATTTCTCCTTATGGCACTTGAAGAAGGCTGTGTTGGGCACTCACAAATTTTAAGTTTCAGCTTGGCAATAAGAAAGTCCCCACTCTTTCGGTTAGTCATGGACACGACTCATGATTGGTGCAATAGTTGGTAGTTTCGTAGTTAAGTTGGCAGCCTACTCATTCACAAAATGTTTAGGTTCAGCAGTGGCTAAATGACTGTGCACCGCAAGTTATTCACATGCTGCTGTCTAGACAAGATCTAACACAGATTTTTTCTTTCCTTGATTTCACTTTTCCTGTTCTTCCTCATCTCTTTCTCATTATCAGTCAGCCTGTCTGGCTACCTCCCTTTTAACACGCCAGCAGCACAAAGTGCTTTTTCATCTAATTTCACATGACATGATTTCAAAAATAAAATCTCTTTATTCTCTCTTTGATCTGTCTTCCCACTTTTCTCTCTGTGTCCTTTTCTCCTGTTTAATTCTAATATAAGTCCTTCATGATCTCCTGCAGCAGTGGATGTAAGCACATGTCCACCTCCGTCTTTTTCAGCAGCTGGATGAGGTGGACGTGGTCAGTGACGATCTGACGCAGGTCGGTCATTTTCTGGAGCACCTTGGCGAACAGTTGCAGAGAGTCTGGGTGGTTTAGCTTCAGCTGCAGCTCCAGCGAATGTAGCACCGTCTCCTGAAGCTGCTCGATGGGCTTCACATTCAGCAGGCCTGGACGGTCTAGACAGGTCACAGAGAGGATCAATCACTGACATTTCTGGTGAGGGCATCCACGAAAAATTAAAAAAGAAGTACGGGTCCATAAGGAAAGAAAAATATACAGACATAGAAGGAAGGTGATCTACATTTTCAAATTGTAAATGGGATTGAGGGGTGATAACAACCACACATGAATTATCTTTTAGGTCAGCATTCTTGGCTGAAAATCCTTTAAATTAGCTGTCCTTATTACTGGACCTAGCTGTATGATTGCCATTTACAAAAGCCTTCTTATCTTCACTTCAAGCTATAATCTTAGTCAGTTAATAATTGACATATTTGTCTAATTTTCATACTCATCAGGTTCAAGGCCAGACTTTTATCAAGTAGCCACATGCTAACCAGCAATATTAAATGACATAGTTTGGGTTTTAGTGGGCAACCAGCTCTACCTCCCGAGCCACAGCCCCACAGATATTCATAGTTAACTAAATTGTTCTGATACCAAAATATCATGAAGTTCATGAAACAAATGTAAAAATGTTGAGTGCTTAAAGTAACTTGTTTATAGATACACATTTACCATTCTGCACTATAAGCTGGTAAAAATTTAGCAAAGAAATATGCTTATTTGCTTTGTTGTCAAGAGGAACAGACTGACATCTCACATTTGTCCATTCAATATGAAGCTGAAGACGTTTAGCTTAGCTTAGCACAGGCACTAGAAAAAACTTCACAAACAAGTCTTAAAGCTCACTAACACTTTAGATAACATTACACGCATCTCATTTGTTTATTCTTACTAACCCCCTCTGCTCTCTTTTTCTTAAGTTGCGGGGCAAAGATGCGCGAAAATAACACATATATTTGCTAAGGGGCTGCAGTAGCTTCAATATCAGCTGCAGTACCCTGCCTAGTGCAGGCACAGGCACGTGAAGGAGTAAAAGAGCTGTGGTGGCCACTGCCAGGCAGAGGAGGAGGTGTTAGCGAAGCAGATGGACAAAGTGACAGGGCCGAGTGAGAAAGAGAGCAGGAGGAGCGTGGAGGTGAAGCGGTAAGCATCGAGTAGCTCAGCCTGTAGGGAGGGAGCAGGGAGGGTCATTTACATTAGGAACATGTTGGGGACATGTAGCCACCACTTTTTGAAAGCATTTGTTAAAAATGTTCTAAAAAATGGCTTGCACCAAGAAATTTTAATTAACAAATAAAAATGCTATGAGAAAGGTTTATTTGTAAATATAGAAGAAACCTCTTGTGGTCCAAAAAAAGTAACTTAAGCAAAAAATAATAATAAGCTACTGCATTATATTTTATTATATTTGTATATTGTTAATTGTCATCTGCCACCTGAATTTTGTGCTTCCCTTTATAAAAATTAAGGCTTTTCCACATAAATTGGTGCAGAAAATGTCTCCAGAATGCATGAAATTAAGTGTTTAATGCTAAAAATCTTCTGGGGGAGGAACCCCAGACCCCCCAATCAAAAACTTAATCTATACATATTTTTTTCCAAATAGCAGGTCTATTAAAATATATTCTTGTCTTGTAGTTATGGAAACCAAACTTGTGCAAATCTAATGTCTGAGTGTTTAATCACACCCCTAATCTGACCCACTAAATGGATCGATGGTGTATTTGTGAGGGGTGTCCGACCGATTTTGGTGGGCTGCCTCGGCCAAAAATGCCTATGCCGATTTTTTGTCCCAGTCCAGCCCTGCTCCACGTGTCCAGTCGTTATGCTAACCTAAGCTTACTCCTGGCTGCAGCTTTATATTAATGGACAGTCACAAGAGTTGTATTGAATTATTCTTTTAATACTACTAAGACTCTTCCTAGGCTACTATGATTTGACATCTACAAAATACGCTACACTAAAAAAACCCACTCACCCCCGCTGAGGATAATGACAGCCAGGAACAGCGCCATGTCGCTGTCGTCCAGCTCAAGCGTGTTGAACTTGACTGAGAACTCAAACTTTGGTTCCATCATTTGACAGAAGGGTTTCCTGAGACTCTTGAGGAACTCCCGCGTCATGAAGATCTGTCCATAGGAGATGAGGGTTCCGTCTTTGTTCATCAGGGGTGACATCATGATGATTAAGACCTCGATCACGCCGTACTTCAGCAAAGTTACCTGTGAAAAGGGAAAGAGGTTGAGCTGAGGCTAATAAGATCTTCAGGAATAATTGTTAGTAAGAGATGTTTTTACACTCATAAAATACCTCTATACACGGTCATCAGTCAACGTTGTAATCCTTGACAACCGACTGGTGTGAATGATGTGAGTGACAGAAAGGATGAGCAGCAGTATTCGTGCCTCTCACCTGATCATTGAGATCCAGATCGATGAATCCTGGGATACTCTTGGCAAACTCTGTCACTTCTCTCACTGCTTCAGCCGAACGTGATTGACAGCTGTGAAAGAAACGCAGCTCCACAGCGTTCAAAACGCCACACTCTGACCCCGGGTGGGCTCCTGTGAGACATGAAATCGGATGAGGTGTGCATAGGAAAAAAAACATATTCTCTAATGAGGCAGTTCAATTACAGGAGTAGAAGGAAAACTAGCCCAGGACCATGGAATTGGGAAATGACAACGAGCAGGATGTGCAAAGGCCTGATTAAAAAAAAATACATACACATCTTATTGGGGCTACATCAAATCAATTCTGTGCACACACACACATTATTGACCCTGGCTTTAGACCTTTCATCACTGCCCATCTCTAATATATTTCAGGGATTTAAATATTGAATTAAATGAAAATGGCAGTTCAGTTTTATTATGAGGTTATATTGATAGAAGAAAAGAAAACAATAGAAAAACAGACTTGATAACATCCTCACATCATGACAAGAACGGTATTTTATACTTCTAACCTCCATGTTCGACCGTTAGGGCGGATGTCTGCTGCTGGTGCTCCTGGATGGGCATCTGCCTGCAATTAATGAACTGCTCCCCTTCCATTAGAGACTTCATATCATGGATGACAAAAGGCTGGAGGGAGAAATGAAAGAATATGGAAGAATATGGATTTGTGGGAATAAGAAAAAGCAGATAGAAAAAGGGGGAGGAAGCGGAAGAAAAAAACAGCATCAGCTCCTTGTAGGTTTTCTGAGGACATGTGAGCTATAGCTGTAATCACATATACCACGTATGCACTTTGGTCATGGCTCATTCATCAGACCTGCAAAAGCAAACACCGCACATCTCATTTCATGTCTGATGGGCAAAGTAAACAAATCTTAGCTGCAGGTTGGGGCAGATAAAAACACTTTTCAGGTAAATTAAGCTTAACTGAGTTAAAGTTCCGCTTACTTTTTAAAAACACTGGCATGGACATGCACAGGCCTGAATGATGAATAGTAGCATTCATACACCTATTATCTTCCATTTTCATAGCAGTAAAATGAATAATGAGACATCCTATAGGAAATTACAGCAAGCAATTCTCAAAAAACTTTATGAAATGAATAATCATTTCTTATGTGAATTGAATTGAATTAAAGTCTGTGGCTGGTGAACAGTGTCATTTTTTGGAATTCCATAGAATGTGCAGCGTTTGTATGGAAGTTCAGGTCTGCCAGCATTGGAATAAAATAATTTAAAATTAAAGAAGAAATAGCACATTCAATCCCTTATAAGTGAAGTTGAATTCATTAGCATTAAAAATGCACGCTTGCTCCGTTCAATACACTCAAGGGGTTTGCTGTTGACAGACTTACTTGGTGAACAGCAGTCTAAGCTGGCTAAAGTTAGCTAACTTTAGATAGATGTTTCTGGATAACAGAATGAGTCACTTTGCTGACTTTGTAAACCTTTTCTGCTTGTGCTACTGTTTCAGTGGATTTTACCATTTGCCATTATTCAGAAACTGCTTATGGTTGCCTTTCAGCAAAAGTTATAGGCATGACAAAAATAAAACGAATCCAATCTTTATGGTATGTCTTTATGCTTTTAAGTTTTCCTTGTTTAAAAATGCATCAATGCTATAAGAAATTATTGAGTGAAACTTGCCATGTCTGTCTATTCTGTTTCCACAGAAACATCACAGTTATCCAGTTCCAATGTCTAATTCATTGTACAAAAGTAAGTGTTCTCTGTCAAACAAAATGTGTAATTATTGAGGATAAGAATTGTAAAAACTATCTTCTTCCTTCACCTCTGATGCTGTGTCTGGAGTGCTGGTGCAGTTAAACGCTGATTGTACATCAACTCATATAAAAGCCCCACATGTTAAAAAATGTAAATATTCTACAAAAGATAAAACCATTGACTCCCATTGTGTTTCAGGAGGTTTGCTGTGGTTTCAGTGGATTCAGTGCCATTTGGCTGCTATCGCTGTGATGAACAGTCATAACAATCAGACAAAAGAGATGTGACGCAGCCTTGAACTTATCTGACTGTACAGAGAGAGAGAAGCAGCAGGAAAGGAAAAAAATGCTACTTGTACATTTGATCCTCAGTTACAGAGCCAATACTTCTACTAATAATAATAATTACTGTTAAGGGCAAGCACTGTAATTGGTGCATTTAGATTCATGTACATCCTCATTTTCATTATTCAGTGAACACTATTCAAATAAACACTATAATTTAATTAAATTTAAGTATGTTTTAAGTGCCTTATCCATGTGCTTGGGTCTAAAAATATATTAAAAGCTACTGATTTGGGAAATCTGCACTAATTCACTAGCTTTACCTAATGACAATTTACTTAATAGGTTTACTTGACAACATTTAACTTTCAGAATAAGTTATCACAACATATTGAAAATATCTGCAAAGGAAGATGATTTGTCTTATATATGAATAGATAAAAACTATATTGAATGCGTTGGTAAATAAATGTAAATGCTCCGTATTTGTATAGCGCCTTTCTAGTCTTTTCGACCATTCAAAGCGCTTTTACACTACATCTGCATTCACCATTCACTCACATTTATACAGTGAGCCCAAGTGCTCAAACAGAAACTATCATTCACACACATTCATACACTGGCGGAACAGCCAGGGGCAATTCGGGGTTCAGTATCTTGGCCAAGGACACTTCGACATGCAGCCTGGGGGAGCCGGGATTGAACCGCCGACCTTCCGATTACCGGCCAACCCGCTCTAATAGTCCATAAAAATGCCAATGGGGCATGTTTTGGACCCATCTTGCAGAATTGATACTATAAGTAGGTTATATATATATATATATATAACCTATTTATAATGCACTGTGGATCATTATAAAATATTCACAATGGTTTTCTTTTGTCTGCCACTTGTAATTCAGTTGATGTGGATTTCCTAAGTAAGTCTCTTTTGAATTCTGAGATTCAATATCTCAAACTCAAGTACAAAAACACAGAATAAGATGATATCTTACATTTTCAGGGTTTTGGCCAACAGCCCCCTTGTATATATTACCAAATGTCTTTATAAATTAGTTTTGAGTAGGAATGTTGAAGCCATTACTGTACATCAGAGTGCTGAGAAGCCACGTTATCGTGTTGCAAAGTTTGACCACTGTAACCTGAGAGGTTTTCTAACAGCCAAGACATGTAGAAACCAGTCAGTCCACTTTTCCTGTTAGAGCAGCAATAAAACTCTGAAAAGACCTCATCTGAACTAAACTGAGCATGGAAGCATGAAGACAATGCTGGCGGAAAAAAAAAAAGTTAAAACATGCAGTGAGTGGAAGAGTTTGAACCACTTTAAAGTGCAAAGCTTCTAAACGCCTTCACTTCAAACTTGTCTTGTTTACCATCGTTTTTCCCTGAGCGACTGCTTGTTTCATTTAAAACTCAAGGCACCACATGAGAGAAAATCTGTGGTATATGTGTAGGTGAAGATACATAGATTTTTTTTTACTAAAGAAGGCCTTTTCATTTCTTTTAGTGTTGGCAGAATATGAGGTTGTGCTGATTTAAACCATCATGACTGGTTATGTTTAAATATATATGTATAGTACATGTTGTTTGGTTGGTGGTTGGGTTGCTTGTGATGAGTGGGATTCATAAAAAAAACATAAATAAAATATAGGTCAAATTTGAACTGAACATCTCAATTACGGTGGAGAAAAAGCTGAAAGGGACGGCGCAACTGGTCCAGCAGCTCAGATCAGTGTGTGGCAAAGAAAAGGCACGTTTATTTGTATGGCACATTTCAACAACAAAGCAATTGAAATTGCTTTACATAATACAGAAAAGCAACTACAATTAAAAAGAGCTAAACAGAAAATAATGAGATAAAGCAGGAGAGTAAAAGGTAGAGTATTCAAAATCCTCAAATTTGATTTGAGAAAAGGTCACACCAAAAAGGAAAGTCTTCAGCCTTGATATAAAAGACCTTGTTTCAGCAGACCTGCAGTTTGTTCCAGATATATGGTTCAAAAAAACTGAACGCTGCTTCTCCATCTTAAGTTTTGACTCTAAAAGGGCTGGATGGTTCATAGCGTGGCAGTATATCAGAAATGTATTTCGGTCTTAAACCATTGAGTGCTTTATAAACCAACAGCCGTATTATAAAAGGTGTTATTACATACTGAATTTACAGTGAATATATTGTAATCTGTAACAGATATATTTTGTATGTAAATGCAATCATCACCAAAGAAGGATGTTTCCTTGGCCTTCATCACAAAATTAACCTGCTAATGCAGTGGATGTGCCTGTAATAAGTCTCACCAAAACACAATATACTGTACTGATATCCAGTAGAAAATTCAATAATAGGTTTTTGGCTTATGCAGGCACATGCCATCCCCATCCCCCACCCCTTAAAGTAGAACTAAGGCACTGCTGCTTACCGCGTTATCTCCGGTCTTCCCAGAGAGGATGGCCCTGGCCTTGGCCTTGGTGAGGGGGAAGTTTTTTAGATAGGCCTCGTACAGATGCCGGGACAGAGCTCTCAGATCTGCTGCCTCCGGGTGTATGTGCTCCATGTCAGATGAGAACTCAGCCAGCAGTTTCTCCTTCTCCGCCTGGGGCATCCGGCCAAAACGAATGGCTGGGAAAAGGAAACGGACAGACAGAAACACAGTTTAGCGCACAAACAGACACACATGGACACAAGGTTGGCAGGCAGGCAGACACAGTATATAAGAGCACACACAGAAACATACTGTAAGCAAGAATAAGGATTCTGGTGGTTCAAAGTAAGCTAAAATTAAAATCATTTTAATTTCTGGACACATTTGCAAATTTGACATGTTTAATTTGAGACAGCATCGAGATCTAGTCACCAAAGCTAAGGGCCGCAAAAGTTTGCTGCAACAATTACATGATTAATCGATCGGCAGAAATTTCATTGGCAGTTATAATAGACTACTGTCCGTTTCAGTCATTTATTGAGCAAAAATGCCCATATTCCCTGCTTCCAGCTTGACTAATGTGACAAGTCGTATGTGATAATAAATAGAATATAGATAATATCTATTTGGATTTTGGATTGTTCTACAACTTCTACAAATGAGTCACACAGTTATTACCATTACTCAGTGAAAGAGAAAATCCACTGGCAACAACACACAACAAAAGTTCCTCCTGTAGTTTTATGAGGTGCGTCTCATGAAGCAATTACAAAAATACTGTTCTCTTTAACAATACATATGTATTTTTATTGGTAATTGTGGTTTCACAGCTCATTCGAAAACCTAAAAAACTATTACGTACATTTCAAAACGTGGTTTTATTTCTTTCAGTAAAAAAACAATACATATTATACAGGGGTGGTGAGGTGATGGCGCAATGGATAAGACGCATGCCTTTAGAATAAGAGACCCGGGTTCAATTCCCCACCGTGACCCATCTACCAATGTGTCCCTGAGCAAGACACTTAAACCCTAGTTGCTCCAGAGGCATGTGACCTCTGACATGTCTAGCAATTTTAAGTTGCTTTGGATAAAGGCGTCAGGTAAATGTATACATATTATACTATACTATTTCTCAGACTGATTATCCATTGCTCAAGTTATGAATAATTAATTAAAGCTGCATTACGCTTGACAAATGAATAATTGTAATCTAAATTTTTATGGTGAATGCAGTGAAAATGTTCTTTTAACTCAAACTGTAATTTGATGCTAAGTTGTGAAATGGTTAAACCTTCTTTTTCTATTTGTGGAAGTAATTTATTATCCCTCCATTCAAACCTGTGCTCTGCATTTACCACAGTGTGTACGTGATTGTGTAATGCTGACTGTGTGATGAATGCACACCTTAAGTAAATTAGTACAAAGTAAAGTGGCCCTACCACCAACTGGCAACGAGCCACCAGTGGTGACACAGCAGGTTGGAGGAATCGGGTTGAGGTCTATGTACTCTGAGATGTCAATCATTGATAAAAATAAAAACCCACACAGAGTAGACTTTCAAAACATGGGCTGTATTTCATGAAACACGCTAACAGTAGACTGATATAAGGGACAGAGGAGGCAGGGAGAAGGACAGAGAGGTAAAGAGGCAGGAGAGGAGAAAAAAACAAACTAATTATAGTAGATGCTATTAGCATACTGTAAATATAAAGCCATGTTTGCTGTTGACCTCAAATCCCGGGTACTGAGATGAGTTTAACTCATCCATGTTTGAAAAACCTTACAAGACACTACAAATAGAAACAGAAAAATCATCTGAGAAAAAAATGTTGGTATGCTCACTTTAGCTGAAAGACAGGAACAAACGGAACAAAAATCCATGTGTCCATGGCATGTAGACTACTTCCTACAAACAATCCCACAATTTGATGCTCTTTTATAGATGTGAAAGTGAACAGTTGTGTGACTGTACACCTGCAAAATGATGATGGTTTATAAGTGTCTTACGTTAATGCCCCCTTAGTTAATGTTGATACGAGATGCAGATGGGTATAAGAGACCCTCTGTACGCACACAGGTGTTTTCACCTATTTATCTGATTACGCCTCTTCTTATGCTGCAGTAACTCTGGATGTATCTACCCTTTCATTTCAAAGAGAAGCAGGGGCAAGAAGAATTCACTTATGGATTCAAATTGACCACAATTCAGGTAGGTTGAATCACGAGGACACGTAGTCTGTTACAATGTTTATTGCCTTCATGTTAAAAGTAATTTCTGCCCCGCTGCTGTCATGGTAACGTAACGTTACAACGCGAGTGATGTAACGATCGGCTGTTTCATATTTTCTGTTTATTTAACGGCCACGTATGAGCGAGAAAACAGCTGAATCTAATTACAGACAATCTGTGACTGTCTGCAGTCTGTGAGTCCTTTCAGGTGTTCACTGATGCAGAAATACATTTAATTATCATACTGCATTACTTAATATTGAAATGAATCCATGTCAGAAACATTTAAAGTTTTAAGTAAAGTAGCCTAATTAATGTCTGTTATTGTTATTATCACAACACATCAGGATGATTGGATAAAATATAGATTTATTGATTGACATGTTTTTGATATTTATTTTGGATAAATTGATATGTTAATCGAGTAATAGGCAACTTTTCTTTCTTTAGAATAAACAAAATTAGTCGTTAGATTAATCGACTAATCGAAAAATAATCGTTAGATTAATCGACTTGAAAAATAATCGATACAGCCCTAGTATGGCCACAGCTTTCAGGCGCAGTCCCGCTAGCACTTATCTCTGTGAATATTTCCTTTATGTCTCACTGACTTCACTTAAAGTATGTACAGCTGAAAAATTTAATTCAGACTGTGCAAATTTGCGTGGCCAGCCCATAGTAATTGTGATGTGCTATTTGAAAATGGAGAAGTAAAAATTTTTGAGGATCAGAATTCAGTCCCATCCCTCACATCCTTTTTCAGTGGGAAGCACTTTTGTTGAATGAAAGGCAAACATGATGAGACATAACAAGACTCAAGTTGTGTAAAGCTATGCTGAGAATTTTAATATCAAATGGCAGAAGGCCATAGATTGTCCTACCCTAATAGGCACAACAAAACAAACAGGAGTCAGAGAACTATCAAACAGGCACAACCAGTGTACACCTAAACAGTCATGAGGTACATGTCATCTGTCAGCGCTTGATATAAAAACGGTGGCCAACAAATGTTAAAAAATTTTAATCTTCCAACAGCTGAACAGTCACATGGGAGAGCAAATATCTGTGATGGTATAAGTGTATACATGATTTCTCTACATACTGTAAGTCTGTTGTGGAGCTTGTGAGGTGACGTCGTATGATCGCTATCACCTTGTATTTCAGTGGCTACACTTACTCACACCAGAAGGGAGAGCAACAGAATGTGCGGCAGATGGCAAAGATCATATAAATGAACTGTGTTAGCGCTACATAGTGCAATAACAATCATACCTGAGATCAGTTGTATGTTTACTGTCAATCAATGTAAAGTGCGGCCTATTTTTAAGAACAAAAGACAAACACTTCTCATCAGACGCAGCATGTAAATCTGCAGAAGCAGCAGTAGACTGCATTTAGACTGGCAACACAATGGATGAACCCACACGGGGCTGAGAGTGGGAGGTGTTGGCAGTCTCTCGCTGTCTTTCAGTATTCGGTGCATTTCTACCCTGACTTGGCACGTACAGGTTAAAACTCCTGTGTGGGTGTAGCAAGGCTTGTACATGTGGATTTTCTAATTACATTAGCTTTTTTTCAAGTTCTATAGATATTGTGTAATAAAAGAAACTGTAGACAAAGCTTTATATTGGATTGTCTGCTCATAAACATCAGCAACTTTTTAGATTGTTCTCGCTCAGCTGGTTATTCTGACATTTTTAATAGGCCCATGAAGGCAGACCAATGACCATCTGTGATCGTGTAACTGTTTTACAAACGTCTTGTGTGATTAACACCGCAATCCACACATTCAAACGGCAGCAACGCTGACAAGAGCGTCTTGTGGGGATTTCATGAGGTTGTTCAAGCGCATTTTTGTTAGCAAGCAGTGAAAATGTCCTTTTGTAGAACAGATACAGATGTTTATCTTATAATTCATTCATTAAAAACTGATTTTAGCTTTAAATACGCAAGTGAGTAAAGTAAACAAGTACTTTCAGTGGCTCACTCTTTCAGCTTAAGAGCAGCACAAACATCAGAGAGTTTTATCAAACATCTAAACACAGTTACTGCTTTTTGCTTTCAATTCTGCTAGTACGAGCCCTTGGAAGAGGGGGTTTAAGTTTCCCTTCAACCACAATTTAATCTTTGAGTCATGCTCTTGGGGTGGCAGGCACATTGCACGAGTGATGGGAACTGAAGCATGACCAAAGGGTTGCTATACAGGCTGAAGACCACAGAGGAAGCAACTGGCAACACAGAAGGCAGTGGTGTACATTGCTGCATATATGACCATCACACCTCAATGACCAAATTGGCAGTAGTGTGGTGTAGATGTATTTCTGCCATTCTCAGAGGCATCAGAGGCAGAAAAATTCATCTGCAAACAGGCGCTTCCTGGGCCACAATTTCAAAGAAAAACCTGTCTTTTAACCTATGTATAAATGTTATTTACAGTGAGCATAAATGAGGGGTTCATTCCTGTCTGAAGAAAAGTCACGAGGGTACAGAAGCTTTGACTGCTGTTTCTTTCATGTAGTTAAGCTTTTTCATGGCCTAACTGTAAATGTTTTCATTTCATATGTGAGTTTATCTTAAATAAAAATGAATCAAGCACATATACACTGACCGTTCTCAAATCTGTGTATCACCATCTTACCGTTGTGTGACATTCCGACATTGAGGCACTTCTGGAAGCGACAGTATTGGCACTTGTTGCGGGACTTCTTGTGAATGCGACAGTGAAGAGCACAGTGATCATAGACCAACTTCAACCTGATTGTGCGTCTGAAGAAACCCTGTGAGAAAGAAAGAGATGGACACTTAGTTCAAATATTGGCACTAAAGATATGCCACTTTTTTCTATTTGCTCTACACTGCTAATTCTGCTTCTATTCTAAGAATTGGTGAGAGATTAATGTTGCACTAGTGTAGACTCTTTGTGTTGGCAAATAAGACAAAAGTATGATAATAAAGTAAAGAAAAAGTCTTGTAAAGATTTTAGTAGGAAATGCTTTTCCTAGTACTGTATGTGCCTTACAAATACAGAAAACACTTTTATCTGTATCATAGCTGACAGACGACAGGAGAAGTAATAATAAGAAGTATAAGAAGTAATAAGTTTTTACATGTTCAACTTCTGATTCAAGTTTGTTGTTCCATATAGTATCTATTGACAAGTAGATGCAGATTAGATACCTGTGTCTTTGTAATCTGCAAGGAAGCCAATCCTATTGCCCACAAGTGTGTTTGAAAGTAGATTGTGATTTAGGGTGGATTTGAGCTTTGATGTTTTCAACCTTAGGACCCATAAGACTTGTGCTTATCTCAGCTATTAACTATGTAGCCATGGTCAAACTCTTAACACACACTTATGGATTTGTTGATGGCTTGATGGTGTGCTGACTAAGAGAGCTAACAGAAAGAGGAATTGAATAGAGTAGAATCGACACAAAAAGAAAAAACCTGAGGGCTGTGTCATGAGGAGAATTGTATTTGAGTTTTTTTGTAATCACATCTGGACTCTACGTGAAGACTGGTGTGTTTGGCATCTGCATTCCTGGGGATGCACAGATGTTCCTTTTTTTAATTATAGGTTATTTAAAGAAGGAGGAAGTTAAAGGGGGTCAAGACTCCACCTCAATAAAGAATGTTTTCTGTTTTGAAACAATTAAGTGTTTGCCTTCTTGGCTGACCCCCCTCTTCTGGTGAGTCTCCCCTGAGACCTTAGCAGAACAATGAATACTGTACCTTAGCTTCATTCAGCCTCTGAAGGTACAGTATGACTTAGACTAAGTGGACAGAAAAAAACCCCTCTGTACTTTGTAGTAAATCCAATACAATAGTCCTGACAGACTGTATGTTGATTAGAATACCTTTGTTGCTCCAATATGTAAATGAGATTGTCAAAATATTACACCTCTCAGTATAATGCAGTACATTGCAATACAACTGTATCATACAACTGAGTCAACACACAACAGATGTAGTAATCTTTACAGAAAGCTGTGCATTTTAAAGGATATGGCTGCGGATACTCTGTATCTCACATATTATCAAAAAAACCCATGAAAAACCAAAACCAACAATAATGTTACTCTCAGTACTTTCCCTGCCCTGTGTGTGGCTCTCAGCCACGAGATGGTTCATTCCAACTAAACATGGAAATCATCTTAAATTGTTTAAACAGGCTAAGAAATGTCTTAAAACAGCTGGGCTGTAGTGTTAAAAATTGGAGGAGTAAATAGTGTATTTACGGCAGCAGGTGGGTGTATGTGGGATATGATCAAAATAAACCATAGAGCACATTTTCATGGAAACACGTCACTCAGTGTAACCATGTGGCTCATTGATGTGTTTTAAACAAAGGATTAATACGATATATGAGGCTTTGGCTACAAAGGCAGTACTAGTTAGTAAGATCAATTCATTGCTGGGTTTGGTCCTCTCGTAGCAAACAGATAATATCACCAGACTTATCCTTTCAGTAATGTAGCATTTATACCAGGCCTATTGTATTGCACTATTGTATTGTAACTACTGTTACATCACGCAGGTGTTGCTATTTGCCTGCATTGCATGTCAAGGTTTCTTTTTTCCACTGATGGTATCAACATTAAGGGTTTTATTATCACATACCTAAATATTTCAAGATTCCTGGTGATTGTTTCCCTAAATAACATTTAGTAAAGTTCCTAAGATGATCTCTAATTCTAACAGTTATCTGTAATGTCCATAAATAAATGTTACAATAACAAATATGAGACTATGTTGTAAGCTGAGGTATCTGTGTTTTTTTTCCTTCGCATTTAAGTTATCTAATCTAAGTAAATCTCTTCTGTTATTGTCTTAAAGTTAGGCTTAGGGTGAGCTTTTCTTAAAAGGCAGAGACTTGCTGAAGGTGAGCGAAACACAGCATGTACAGCAGCTTTTTATACCTTTCTTGGCAAAACAAGACAAACAAAAAAAAACTACCGAAAAAAGCATACGTAGTATTGCTGCTGTTTCTGAAAATCCACCTCGTTTGTTTTTGGACAATGTCACAATTTATGTGCTGTTCTTATAATGTCTCAATATTTCAAAGAAAATGGAAATATGTGTGAAACTTCCCCCACTTTCCCCTCTATTAGTTATTTATATACTCTGTAGTGACAGACAGACAGACAGACAGACAGAGAGTTTAAGGGGCTGTATGTCTGTGGAAGCACAAGTCTTTGCTGAGCCCTTGCACAGTGGAAAATGTATGGGGCTTGTGGTTAGAGTGACAGACATCAAAAAGACGAAAAAATGCTCACTTCTCTCCATGCATTATAGAATTATTTATTCCACCAACATGTTTCGCTGAAGAGTGACACATGGTGACAGAAAAAGGAAGACTGGCAGGGAAACAAAACGTTATGATTTGCAGTAGAAATGGTTACACCCATCACCATTTCCTGACATGACTCTTCCTCTAAGGTGGTACGATCTTGATCTTGAGCATTACTTATTGAGAGCAGAAATCAATTTGTTTTTCACCTATGTGCATCGCAGTTTAAGATATAATATGCATCTCTCAAATAATTGATTGCCAGAACCAGAGCCAGAAATAAGTGAGAAAAAAATATTTTGGTCAAAACTGAACAACTATCTGAAAAGAGACCTCTGCTGGTTGTGTAGACCAATTGGTGCCTCATCTTTTATAAGCAAAAATGCCAAACATAAGTAAGTTCCATCCTCATAATCGTGAGGATGTGCTGCTTTTCGTTGTCTTTTGGGGAAGTAAGTTGATACATACAGTAAATCATACATTTATTTTGCATCTTTACTCATGACATCTTTCAGTCGTACCTTACAGCCCTCACAGGCATGGACGCCATAGTGAAACCCTGAGGCTTTGTCCCCACACACACGACACTCGATGTTTAGCGCCGCTGCTGTCGTATCGTCCTGGAGCTTGGAGAACACGGGACTGTCAGAGTACTGCGGAGGCGACTCCGGCTCCAACTTGATCAAGTCTGATATTAGAAACATCATCAGGCAGGTAGCACACCAAGGAGGCAGACAGACAGAAAGTTTAATGCTCTGTTGGTTAAACCTGGTCTCTGGCTATAACCACTATTCTGTTCATTAATGTTTTTAGCACAAGTACAAATCAATATCTTAACCAACTGTCCTCTAAATGTGGTACACTTAATGCATTAAAGCTTTTATGTGAAGACTTCATTTTCTACCTTCTGCAAGTGAACTGTGCTGCTAAGCTCCATGTGCATTTAATCAGCAAAAAGAAAGTAGATAACGTGTTTTCGCTCTGGTTAAGCCATTACACAAACAGGACTTACTGTGAGTGTCCGGCTCCATCCTGTAGCTGTGCATGTTTGTGTAGTCCATGTTGGTCAGGTGCTCTTCGCTCTGCGGAGGGCTGGGGTCATAGGCCACACCGGCGGAGGAGATGCAGGATACGAGCGGGGGAGACAGGGAGGACTGGATGGAGGAGGAGGAGATGGAGGCGTAGTCTAACGTTGACAAATGCTTCATGTCGAGGGAGTGGGAGCTGTCATCCAGCTCTGATGACAGGTCCACGGCGCTCAGGCTGAAACCAACAGGCCAGGCTAGGAGCTGCTGGGTGTCCACCATGTCTACTGTGAAGAGAGATGAAGCAGTGACGCGACAGCTGATGCAATATCCTTTGTTGACTGTATGTGGCCTTGTTAAAAGAAAACAACACTGGAAGAACCGGAGAGAGGAGGGGAGGAAGAGGAAAAGTTGGAGAGACAGAGAGGGAAAGGGAGGATGAGATAAGGAAAGTAGTAGAGGAGCAGAGGAAGGGAGAAAGATGAATATATACATAGACAAGCCCACATGCTTCATTGGACATGGTGTTAATGATTAAATATGTATATAATACCCACACGCACACACACACACACACACACACCACCATGTGGAGTACTGCCGGCCCTCCAGCTCATTCCTGCAGTCTGTCTGCTATCTGGTAAACAGCAAGGCAGATTGTGTCACAGGGAGTACAAGACAAACGCTGTCACTAGGGAACATCTCTTCTGCTCAAAACACCATCTTCCTCCGTTTCTGTTTGGGTGGCTCGCTGTGTGATTGCCCAACCAAAGCACATAGACAGCAGGGACTGTTTGAGCCTCTGTCTGGGGCCAAGGATGTAAGACACTAACTTTTGGAGTGGAAAGGACTGCACTTTCTGAGTGTTGAAACACGTCGCAGATTATTAAGTAGAACTGTGTTCAACTTCTAGGAATTTTATTCTTTCATCCTAGAAAGACTGTGTTTTTCTCCGCATCATTATTATTAAAAATTTCTATCATTTGCTTGTTGACCACATTTCTGCCACACTGCTCTCTCTTGATATTCGGCTCTGTGTATAAAAAATGAAGCCTCTTCAGTCATTCCAAAATCTAACTCAGATCAGACATTGCAGGAGAAAAGTCAGCCGAGGTGGTCAAAGTCCAGTCGCCAGCGGTTACTACAGTCCAAACAAAAGCAAACCACATACAGGGCTATAGGGTCAAAGGACGTTTGTACAAGGTTGTTTGGTGATTTAAAAATTAGTAGAATATCTTTATGTGATGTATTTAATTATTCTTAACAAACTAAGTCAAGAAATCTGATATTGACAGACTTTAAGATATTAAAAGGATAAGGCTGGGGATATTCTTTATTTGTTAAGTGTGATGAAATGAAACGTCCAAAACCTACGATGCGTTAGTCTGTCTCCCAGTACTTTCTGCCATCCCTGCCCTATCTGTAGCACTGAATCTCAAACCCATTTGCCCTGGCTGAAAATGTAGATTTTTAACATGGTTAACACATATAAAGTTTTTAGCAAACTTTACTCAAACAATAGTATTAAGTGTATTTGTGGGGACTATTTTATGCTGTGTATTAACTTGATGTATAGTTACTTTTTAATGCAGAAGGATGGTGTGCTTTATGTGGGATAGACTAAAATAATCTACATTGCCCATGTGCATCCTAATGACCGAACACGTTACCCAGTGCAAATTTAATTTATGTGTTTTTGATATTTTGAACAACAAAGGAAGAGTATGGCACAGAGGAATAAGCTACATCAGGCTATGGATACTTGGATAAATCTCATTGGGGGGAACAACTGATTGTTGGTTTTGGCCTATTATTGGAATTTGCTGACACAAAGAAGAATATACAGCATCACCAGACTTCATATCAAAGGTATTTCACTTTTGTTCTGTGTTGCAAAATTTGAAGGCAAAATGTCTATGTGTCTTTGTAAATATCAATACTGGAAACTTTTTAAGAAAGATGGAGCCATGCCTGAATTCTAACGTTGATTTAAACTAAAGAAACAGTTTATAAATAATCAATAAGATAAATAGAGTAAAAGGTCTGTGCACTGAACCAACTGACCTGCCAAACAACCTTTTGTAACCAACACCGAATCTCAAAATAAACCACCTCTAATCAACCTCGAGCTCCTGATTTGGGAAAAAAAATGTGACAAAGAATGCGATGAATTATGCAACAGGACAAAACTAAAATAGCATTACTCCGATGGCACAGTAGTACCAGGTATAGAAATGGCTCCAAATTACTTGACAAAACATCCCCGTGGAGCAAACATCCTCCTCTCTCAACTACTTATTGTTTCCTTTTTACTTGTTTGGACTGTGGCAACAAAAATCAGCGGGGGCTCCACTTAAAATTCACATCGACTGTGACATTGTTTCAGAACGAGAGCGAGAAAAGAGGTGTGTGTGTGTGTTTGTCCGCAGGCTGTAGCTTCCACTGTCTTGGAAGCTGCTGTGAGGGGAAAATGCTGACTATTAATACATGGGGAAACCTGGTTATTTTTCCATTAGTTGGCCGGTAGCCAGTCGATCCAAACCTTAAATAGATGGAGCAGTGGAGCGACTTGTGTCCCGGTTGGCATCAACTCATCATATGGAGAGGAAAATCTAGTGGGAGAGAGAGGGAGCTCTGGAGATGACGAGTGAGAGAGATAAATCGAGAGGGGGTGACAGAGAGCGAGTCCCCAGACCATTTCAAGAAATCAAACTGCACCCAGGGGTTTTAAGAAAAAAATTTTTTTATGAAATGAATGCTCTGTACTCCACAAGCTCTTCAACACAATTTCTTTTTTTTAAGAGGAAGGCGGATGCAGCCTGACAGTTAAACCATGGTGCTTGAATCATGTTGTAAATTTGTACAGTGACTTCTCTCCTGACAGTGTTCCTAGAAACAGTGAAGTATAAAATCCACTGAGTTCAACATGTTTGTATCTGCGACAGCCTTTCAGATATTATAAAAGATGACAGATCATTAGTAAGGTTTTTGTTTGCAAAGGGGTGTGTGTGTGTGTGTGTGTGTGAGCACATGCGTGACAGCTGTGTCGGTGTCTCCTGCCAGTTCTCAGATTTCCACATGTCAGAACTTGTCTTGCAGGTAAAAGTACAGCGTGTAGGAGTATTTTCTAGCTATTGCCTCACTCATGACATAATAACAAAAAGGCCAACGGCAAACTGGCAGGCAGGTCTGGCAAGCTACTGTACCGACAAGCCTGACTGATACTGTGTGTGTGTGTGTGTGTGTGTGTGTGTATATTTAAGTGAGTCAACACATGCAGTTAAGCATGTCACACTTTTCATGTAAAATCTTTTAAAGGATCTTTGAATGGACAAAGACAGTAACTGAGACAGGAGTGACGTACAAAAGTACAGACTGACCCACAAAAGCTGGATCATTAAACAAAATGACGCTACCACTGCAATGTTAACTTCAGGAGAGGGAACGGTGTTCTCCCAGTCTGAAAGCAGCAGTTCAGGAAAAAAGAGGTGAAACTAAGAGGTCAAACAGAGAGATGTGAAATATTTCCTTCAGGGACAATGTTGCAAAACTTATGAAATGTTTTTTCATGTCATATTTCTTCACAATTGCGATGATTCAGTCCAAAACGGACTGAAGCAAAGGCTGGGGATCAGATTACTGGACAGAAAGTGGGAGAACCTTTATTGGTTTATATACAAAAAGTCCACAAAAGGAAAACACTTACAGAGCTCAACAAAAACTTCTAAAAGAATACAAAAAGCTCATAGTGTAGAAACCCTGCAGTCAGAAAATATCCTGTATAATCATCATTTTTTCCGAGGGTGTAGAAGCCTCCTACACAGTAACTCATTTGACAGTCAAGCAAAGAAAATGCACGGAGCGAGGAGCAGTCTAGGAAAGGAGAGAAGGCAACACAGGAGGCAGTGTGGTATATTTAGTAATGTAAGAGACAAAAGGCAGAACCTGCCCCACTGCATTCAGAGGCATTAACCCTCTTATCTTCTCTGTTTGCATAAAAACTATGCTCTCTCTTTGAGGGTAAGAACTACACCACTGATGCCAAAGCAGACAATCGCTCGACCAAAATTCACTGTTGGAAGCAAGTTTCGATATTTGAACAGATTTAGTTGAAAATGAATTGCATTGCTACATGAGAACTGATGAAAAATTTGGATGCAATATACACACAGGAAAACGACTTATTTTTTATGGTATTTTTTATACATCATAACCAAGTGAAGCAAAATGCAAGTGGGTAAATATGAATAGAGATGTGCATGTGATTAATTTAGCACTTCACAAGTTTTCTTGTTGTTGCCTCTATAACATCCTGATAACAATGTTGCAGAATATTTCCCCTCTAGAAGAAGGCGTGTTTTTTTTGGCAGAGTAAGCTATTTATATTATGACAGTTGTCCCTATATATGAATGTGTGTATATGTGAAACACAGAGACAGAGAAAGACGGAGTGAGTTAGTGCACAGAGCTCTGTGACTTCCTGACCTCTTCATGCAAAACAGCATGTGGTTCAGTGTCAGTGACTAAAACAAAGATATGCCCGCCTGCACGTCTGCCTCACAGTCCCCACAATTTCTTTGAAAAGATGAAGTGTGCTTAGTTTTTACCTGGCTAGTCCCCACATGAGGAAACTGTGGGATACAGTGGAAAGATCACGTGGTGCAATAATGCTGTACTTTATATGTAAGCAGCTGATTTTACCAATTTAGTTATTGAGCAGGAGCTCAGTGTTACCCATCAAAAACATCAGGGTAAAATGTTGCATGCATCACTCTTCAGGAAATCTCACTTGTTTTTTTTTTTACTTTGGTGGTGTGAAGCCACTATGGGCAGAATTACCTGAAAGGGCCTTCCCCTTCTGCACCTAAATGATCAAACAGGAGAGTAATGGAAAACCATGTGCACCCAAAGTGTCAGCCAGCGGTCTGGACTGCCCTCTTGACAGGAACAAGAGTCTCCTGGTGTCTGAAAACCCACTTGCTTGGTTGGTACTGAATTTAATCATGAAACGTGGCATAGTGGGAGTTCAGAAACCAAAATCTCGTTCTGCTTGGCACGGCTCTGAGTAAAACAGCACCCAGACAACCTCTCTCTGATTTCTACTTGATTTCTGTCTAATTTTTGGCTTTCATCTTACAAAAGGTAGGAAATTGGAGCACTGACAAACATCAGGTCATCCTGAGGTCAGATTAAGGGGGAGGCAACATTTCTTACAAATAGGCACAAATTGAAAAAAAGTTAGCTTTTCTGCATTTTGCAAGCAACAAACATGCACACCCAGGGTTCA